CGCCCAAGATGGCCCAAGAGGGCCCCAAGACGGGCCCAAGAGGGGGCCCAGAGGGGGACCACGAACCGCAAGCTCGAGCCTTCCGCCCCAAGAGGCCGCCAGGAGGCCCCCAGGAGGCCCCTCAAGAGGCCCCAGGAGACCCCAGACGTCCAAGGACGCCCCCAAGAGGCCCCAAGAAGCCTCCAACATGCGTCCCAAGAGGGCCCCTAGACGCAAAATTGGCCCATTCCCTTCGTAAAACGTACATTTTCAACAAAGTCGCCTTTTGGGCTTTCCGACGTTACAGGACGGCCCAAGAGGCGCCCAAGACCGCCCCAAGACGGCCCAAGAAGCTTCCCAGAGGGCCCCAGGACAGCCCAAGAGGGCCCCAAGACGGCCCAAGAGGCGCCCAAGATGGCCCAAGAGGGCCCCAAGACGGGCCCAAGAGGGGGCCCAGAGGGGGACCACGAACCGCAAGCTCGAGCCTTCCGCCCCAAGAGGCCGCCAGGAGGCCCCCAGGAGGCCCCTCAAGAGGCCCCAGGAGACCCCAGACGTCCAAGGACGCCCCCAAGAGGCCCCAAGAAGCCTCCAACATGCGTCCCAAGAGGGCCCCTAGACGCAAGAATTGGCCCATTCCCTTCGTAAAACGTACATTTTCAACAAAGTTGTCTTTTGGGCTTTCCGACGTTACAGGACGGCCCAAGAGGCGCCCAAGACCGCCCCAAGACGGCCCAAGAAGCTTCCAAGAGGGCCCCAGGACAGCCCAAGAGGGCCCCAAGACGGCCCAAGAGGCGCCCAAGATGGCCCAAGAGGGCCCCAAGACGGGCCCAAGAGGGGGCCCAGAGGGGGACCACGAACCGCAAGCTCGAGCCTTCCGCCCCAAGAGGCCGCCAGGAGGCCCCCAGGAGGCCCCTCAAGAGGCCCCAGGAGACCCCAGACGTCCAAGGACGCCCCCAAGACGCTTCGCGTCACCAATTTCTTCTCGCAACGATTCCTGGGTCTGTGACTCGACAGAACCTAAGCGCGCGCGAAGCGCGCGCGTGGTTCTAGTATATATGTATGTATGTACGCATATGTATATGTATGTATGTATGTATGTATGCATGTATGTATGTATGTATGTATGTATACATGTACATGTACAAGTGCAGGTGCATGTGCATGTACTTGTAGGTGTATATGATTATGCAATCAGCATGCCCACGTGTATGGCTATGTATATGTATAGCGGTATGCATACATGTATATATAAACATATATATATTTGTGTGCATGCATCTATTTATAGTAATGCTATACGCATAGGTGTGTAAGAGTTGATGTTTCTGTATTTGTATCTATACACAAACACATGTTTATGCTTATTCCGTATGCATATGTGTGTTGTAGATATGCAATTGTAAACGTAAATGAAGATCTACAGGTGTCTACATCTGCAGAGTTACACATGCACCTACATGTACATGTGCATGCATGCGTATGTGTAGATGCGTACATATACATCTATATCGGAGTAGGCCGGGGGAAGAGGCCAGGCCGGTGCCTGACCGGTGCTTGTTCCGCTCATGGGCGCCCGCCTGGGTCTGTGGGGGGCTTCCAGGGCTCCAAAGGCGGCCCGGACACGCCCCGAAACAGGCCACGACAGGCTAAGGGAGTCCCGAGAGGGCCCAAGACGGTCCCAAGAGGCCCCGAAGACGCCTCCGTAGCATTTTGGCTTAAGCCGCTTCGGAGCTTCAGTGAGTGTCTTTGGCCTCATCTGTGGCTCTGCGCGAGCGGCAGCTCGCAGATCGGCGGTTTTTCGACTATGGTCCCCGATGGCGGGATCTTGCAGGGGGTGCCCATCGATTTGGTGCAGCCAGCGGCGCAGGTAGCGGCGGTAACATGTCTAGTCGTACTGCTGGGGAAAGATCTGTTGAAGTTTCGCACAGGCTCTGGCTCGTGTGGGTGCGTGGCCAATTTGAAGGAGTTCGTACGAACGGTCGGAAGAGTTCTCCGCGTCAGCTGTGCTGAAGACCATGATGTGTCTTCGAAGCGAGCGCAAAGCAAACGCATGGCTATAGGCCTTCTGGTCTGCCGATATTCCAAATGGCCCCTGATGACTGTTCCCTTTTGGAAGATTGATGATGAGGGGCTCTTTTTCCTGTTGCATTACACAGCTTTCTTCATATACGCGTCTTTCGTGTCAGCTGCTCCCAGTCGGCACGGACATCGGTTACAGCATGCAGGGTACTCGTTGTTCATGGCATCGTATTGCTTCGGGCTGTCGCCGCTAGTGATTCCTTCCGGGTATAATCCTGAATGGTACATACGGCGGGCGTTGTGGGCTTCGGGGACGTTTACGTGTTATGACATTTGTTTGCCACTCAACCTTCTCGGGAATGGTATGATATGGGGATCCTTCCTACTAACGGCGCACGTTCGCGTTTCTGGAGCGTGTAACGACGAAGATACCAAGGTTAATATTATGGCAAGTTTCTTAGGCATCACCGCGTGGGTAATTCTGTGTAACATTGTTTTCGCTGAGGGGGTGTTTCGCGAGACGCAGACGTTGACAGCCAAGAGCGAGCTGAAAGCTGCAAACGCTATTCTCCAGGGCACGTGTGACGCTGTGGTAGTACTCGACCAGGAGCTGAAGGTCACTCATGGCGAGCAGTCCGTGGCGAACATGCTGATGATGACCCCATCAAAGATCCAAGGCGAGAGCATCTTGACCCTGATCGCCGAAGAGGAACGCGAAAGATTTGCTGAGATGGTGCACGGCGCCCGATTCAGCGCGATGCCAGGGCCGTGCACCGCTTTCAATACCTCCCTGAGGGACAGTGCCGCCATCCCGTGCAGCGTCGAGGCGATGTGCGTGAAGTACTTGCAGGCCGACGGCGGGAACGAGTCGTTCCTGATCGGTTTCCGGGAAGCGCCTGATCTGCCCGCGATACCTTCCCTAACAAATTTTTCGAGCTCCGCCCCGCAGAGCGGATTCCGTCGGTCCCGGCCGCCGCGCCCCGCGCGGCTCGTCGCGGGCTCTTCGCATCCCACGGGCTCTTCCCGCGGCGAGGGCGACCTTAATGCCAAGGACAGCTTCTCGGATGGAGCCAGCTCTTCTACTGAGCAGAGCAGCGACAGCGACGACACATGCACTCGAACAGGACGTCGGCCAATCGCAGTGTGGTTTGATCCCAGTTCGATTGAGTTCGAGCTGGTCAAAAGCAGCGCCGAGTTCAGGATGCTCACAGGCTTCACCAAGGATGAGATGACAGTCTGTGGAGGTGTTCTTAAGTGGGTGCGCAAGGAGCAGAGGGACGTTTTCGCAAAATGGGTGCGCGACTTCGCCGACAGCACCCAGAACCGGGAGAGCCGACCCCGCTACGCTGCTGCAGGAGTCAAGTTTTGTATCGAGTGCGAGAAGCACAAGGCCCAGTTCGAGGCGGAGGTTCTTTTGGAGACTGGTTGGTCGGATGCCGCTTCCAAGACCTTCAAGCTTGTGGTCCATAGTTTCCGAGCCGAGCAGGAAACGAAGGAGAGGACCAGGAGGGCTCAAAGGACAAATGATGACTCTTGTGGCACCAGAGGGACTCCATCGCATGAGGGCGAAAGGAGCGTGCGCAGGCGCGACTTCCTGGTTCGCGACTCAGCGCTTGAGGTGATGTGCGACGTCGTGGAGTGCGTGAATGCTGATGCACCGTTGATGATCACGAGGCTCATCAGCCCAGGTCTCCAGTTGCTTATCGGCACGGCCGAAACAGGGCAGGAAGCGTGCCACCTGTTCGCCAAGGCGCAGTACGTAGACATCGAAACTTGGCTGCACGATGCGTATGTCTCGCGGGCAGAGGGTGGTCAGACCTCCTCCACAAACAGCCTCTGGTGTTTCTTAGCAATGCCAGCTCTGGAAAGATTAGGCGTCGCCCTCGAGGTCAACTTAAAAGCCAGGTTCTCGCGCGCAGACCTTGGCATGTGCTTGGTGGTACAGAGGCTGCGCTGGTCGCCACTGAAGGGGCTGGCTCAGGCCCGCGTGCGCAGAGGGCCAAGGACCGACGGCACGCCGGCAAGGCTGGACTCGGGAAGGTTCCGAGTAGCAGGTGACGGCTTGGCGAGCTTGTGATTCAAATTATCGGTGGCGAGCGAGCTGCCGATCAGCGAGCTTGCGATGGAACTTAGACATATCGGTTGCGAAATCCGAACCCTACCCTCGCCGATCACCGACTTAGGCAACTCCATGGGCGTCGGGGGTAGGGTGGATCTTGGCCTAGCGAGCTTGTGATGGAAACTCGTACTTACTCACCCGTTTGCGCATTGTTCCTAGGCGCTCAGGGCAGCGGCGGTGCGATCGACCATCTTCTATCGGCGCTCAGGGCCGCTGCGGCGCGCTCGACCGGCACCGCCGCTGCGCCCGTCGCGCAAAATATCAGCTCGCCGCCCCCCCGGGGAGCCGCGGCGTCGACGCCGCGGCACGGCCACGCCCCTCGCGCGCTGCTGCTGCGGCCCCTCGCGGGGAGCACCTGTGTAGCCCCATCGCGGGGGGGGGGGAACTTTAGTGGGGCCAACTTTTGATGACTCCCCTATCCGTTTGGGGCTCACGGGGGGTCAGCGCCGACCCTCTGAAGTCTGTACTGATGCGTTTTTGGTTTCTCTTCTTCTCCCCACCCTCCCTCTGTCCTTCTTGCTTCCTCCTTCTCGGTCCTCATCTTTGCGCCGTCAGGCTTGGCCGCGTCGGCCGCCGCCACTGTCGCTATCACCGTCGCCCGAGTCGGTGGCTCTGACGAATGGACGGCGGCGGCGGCAGCCGCAATGCCGGAACACGCACAGCGTCCAGGAAGACGTATGCAAGCCCGGCTTGTTTGGCCGATGTTTTGAGGGGGGGCCTGTGCTCAGAGGAGGCTGCAGCAGCGCCCAACTGCTCGCTGTCCACCGAGCTTGCAGCATGGCCCTCTCCACGTCTCCGTGCACGTCAGCCTTGACTTCGGCTGCAGCTGCAGCTGCACCGCGGAGCGCCTTCGGGCCAGCTCACCTGGGTGCCGACCCCCCTCCTACTCCTCCTCCTCCTCCTCCTCCTCCTCCTCCACCTCCTCCTTCTCCTTCTCCTCCTCCTCCTCCCCCTCCCCCTCCCCCTCCCCCTCTCCCTCCCTCCCCTGTCCAAACCTCCTCCCAGCCCCCCCTCCTCGTCCAGCTCCCCTCGTGCCGACGGCACCGCGGAGTCGGGCACCGTGGCCGAGCCCGCCGGCCGAGCTGCTCGGCAGGGCGGCTGCGGGTCGCCTCGGCGGGACTGCCGAGCCTGGGCAGCGCGTTGGCACTTCGACCGGGAGCGCAGGCCGTGTAAACTCGGAGGCCTGGAAATTGGCACCAACACTCAGAGCCCCGAATCATCAGGGGTAACTCGGGTCAGGGCTAACTCGGGTTCGTTTTTCGGGATTCCGAACCCGAGCTATCCCGGACCCGAGTTACCCCGGATATTTCGGGCGTCCAGGGCCCCGAATCATCAGGGATAACTCGGGTCAGGGCTAACTCGGGTTCCTTTTCCGGGAATCCAAACCCGAATTACCCCGGACCCGAGTTACCCCGGATAATTCGGGCGCCCAAAGGCCGTGTAAATTCGGAGGCCTGGAAATTGGCACCAACACCAAGACAGGGGGTTGCCTCCACAGGCGGAAGGTGATCCTAGATTTTCGGTGTTGGTGGTAATAGTTCGGCCACCTTGGAAGCCAGAATATCACCACCATCACCGAGATCGGGATCTTTCTTCCCTCGGTGGAGGAACAGCGCCGATATTGGTGCTGGTGTCAATCTCTAGGCCTGCGATAGATGTAAGTCGGGCCTGGCCCTCCACAGGAGGAATCTTCAGAAGTAGTCAAAAAACAGCCTGGGGACGATTGTTTGACTTATTGTTTGATAGGGTCGAAGATTTTTTGGCGAGAACACAACGCAGTTTTGTTCGTTGTCACAAAAACGCGGACCTGGGAACCTTCTACCCCTGCCGCCCCGCCGCTGGCGCCGCGGTTCGCCGCGGTGCCTGTGGTGGGGCGGGTTGGGTCGGTTGGGGGGTGCGTTTGGGGTGGCTCGCCTCAGGACGAACCTTCGCCTGCACCCGACGTGCATCAGCGCGAGTGCCGCAGCCGCAGTCGCCCTGCCAGGCGGCGAGCTGCCAAGTGCGATGAGCTTTCGGCGGCTTGCGGTGCTGTGCGGGACCTTGAGCTGGCCGTCAGCATAGCGCGCCAGTGCACCATCGAGCCGCGCGCGGGCCCCCGCCGTGAAGTCGAGGCCCTGCGGCAGGGCCTCGCCCAGCGAAGCTTCAGCAAATGGTCGAATTCGGCTCGGGTCGCCGCGATTCTGGGCAGCTGCCCGAAAACGTGGCCCAGCGTAGTCAGCGCCTTCCGCTGCTGGGCGACTTTCGCCATGACCGTGCTCGGCTGCGACGCGGGGGAAGTGATTCCGCCGTCGCCCGAGGGCCTTGCATTGTGGAGCACATGCTTCCGTTGTAAAGGAACATTCGACAACTATATTTCGCACGTCAGATTAGTCTGCATCCTGTTGCGCGTCCCGCTGGACGCGCTGAGCGACCCGGCAGTCGAGCGCGCGGCTCGCGCGGTGCAAGCGCGAAACACTTGGCAGGCCAGGCCCAAGATGTTTATTCGGGAGGCGCTCCTCGCCAGATTACTGAAGCATCTCGAACGCCACCAATCGGGGCGCGAGCTGCAGATGCTTTTCTTGACGGCGTACATATTCCTGTTGCGATTGCCGTCGGAAGCACTGCCGATGCACGTCGCTCGGGACGGCGATCCGCCGCGGGCGGTCGAGCCGAAGAGCTGCCTACGCCTGCATGACGGCTCGATCTCGCTGACGTTGCTTTGGCGCAAGAATCGCGCCACGCCGCTCACGATGACGCGCACGTGCTGGTGCGCGCGCTGTCCATCAACGTGCCCCGTGCACGCGCTGGGGAAATTCTGCGCCGACAGCGCGGCCCAGCAGCCTTTTGCGGGTTTCCGCCCGGACGCTGTCCTATCGGCGTTGAGAGCGGCCCTGCAAGAGCTCGGGGTGCCGCGGCACGATGCCTATCGCACCCACGATTTTCGTCGGGGCCACGCCCAAGACATGGCGGTGCGTGGCTCGCGGCTGGCCGACATCCTTCGCGCCGGAGATTGGCGGTCCGCCGCCTTCCTGTCATATTTAGACAGGGATGCGCTTGAGGACAGCGCCGTCAGGGAAGCGCACGGCGGCGCTTCGTCCAGCGACGAAGACAAGGACTGAGGTGGCTGTGAGCCTATAGAACACCTTCGGCGAGAACAGCGTTGGGTTTTCCTCGCGCGCAGGTGCAGCAAGGGCCTTGGGTGTCGCTGCACCCGCGCGCTCCCGCGGGGAGCGGCGAGCGACGAGTGCGCCGCTCGCCCCCCCCCGCGGGCGCGTGCCTACCCAACGCGCAGCGCTCCCCGCGCTCTCCCCCAACCCTCGGGTTTTCCAGGGTAGCGTCTTTTGTGGGCGAGAACACAACGCAGTTTTGTTCGTTGTCACAAAAACGCGGACCTGGGAACCTTCTACCCCTGCCGCCCCGCCGCTGGCGCCGCGGTTCGCCGCGGTGCCTGTGGTGGGGCGGGTTGGGTCGGTTGGGGGGTGCGTTTGGGGTGGCTCGCCTCAGGTCTTCATGGACTTCGTGTTCCTCGTCTTGTTCGTGTTCTTTGTCCACGTCTCCCTGCGGTGGGGGGAGGGTAAATATACCCCCGCGTCGCGCGCGCTGCCCCGAGGGCGCTTGTCGGCCGAACGCGAGGCTGGCGCCCTCGGTGCGCGCGTCGCGGGCCGCCGTGGCGGCTTTTGTTTCCCCTCACCCTTCGCCGCTCCTTTGGTTGGGGTGGGGCGCGGGGCGTCGCTGCACCCGCGCGCTCCCGCGGGGAGCGGCGAGCGACGAGTGCGCCGCTCGCCCCCCCCCGCGGGCGCGTGCCTACCCAACGCGCAGCGCTCCCCGCGCTCTCCCCCAACCCTCGGGTTTTCCAGGGTAGCGTCTTTTGTGGACTATTTCTGATTGCCGCGATCCCTTAGGCACCTTGTTTCGCTTCGCGCATTTTCGCGGCAGCGTGAATACCTTTCCTGTAACGCTTTTCTCGGTGCATGCCAGAATCGTTTTTTGTCATTGCCCAGATCTTATTTCGAATATTCTTCCAGCGCCTCCCAGGCCATAGTATTCGCCGCCTGGACAGCGGTGAGAGTCAAGAGGGCATTCCTTTTGCCGTCTCTGACTCCTGCCTGAGCTTGAGTTTCGTGCGAGTTGACTTCGGGCTCCTGGGTGCTTTCCATCGGCTCCCCCTTCGTCGGCCTTCTCTGTCGGCCCGCTCTGTGGTCAGAATATTTGCGAACCCGTTCCAGTTGCTCGTCTCACTCGGTCTGCCCAGGCGCTTTTCCGTGCGCCGTCAGTGGCCCGGCCTGCCGCGGCCAGTCAGCAGACCGCTTCTTCTCTTCTCCCCCCCCTCCGTCGAAGGCGACTCGGGGGCTCTCCTTTCAAGCAGTGGCGAAGCGCCCTGGTTCGCCCATAGCCCTTCCAAACAATGTTTCCACGACATGTTCTTAGAACAGTTCTGGTTGATCTTGTCTTGGTTTAGCACATCGGGTTTATGTTCTAAGAACATTGTTTTGTCCTTAGAACATTCTTGGGTTCCAGGAACATTTCGTGGTAGGACTATAGGAATGACGGGACGGTCGGTCCCTGCCCAGTCCTTGGTTGCGGCTGCTACGTTGCCCCGGCGGCCCCGCTCTGCGCCCACCTCCCGACGCGCGCGGATCTGCCCGCCGTTGGGGTGCGTCGCGCAGCATGGTCTCACGCGGATAGCGTTGAGTCGGGCATGTCCCTCCACGGGAGGAACATTCAGAAGTAGCAAAAATTATAGCCAGAGTGCAGTATCCCAAAACAGAGCTTTTACACCCACTGCGGTTTCCAAGGTCGACTGCGTGCCCGTCCAGTGCGGGCTGGCATGGCATGTTAGCACGTGCCTCCTCCTCATCCTCCTCCTCCTTCTCCTCCTCCTCCACCTCCTCTTCACCCCGAACGGCATCTCGGAACCCAGAGTTGCGAGGATGTCTCCAGCGTAACGGGCTGGACCACCTCGCGCGCGGCATCTAGGACCCCAGAGTTGCGACGATGTCTCGGGCGAAACGTGCTGTGAGGAAGTCTCAGGCGAAACAGGCCGGACCACCTCGAGCGCGGCGTCTCAGAGTTCCAGGTTGCGGGGGCCTCCTGGGGCCTCCTGGGGCCTCCTGGGGACCTCCTGGGGCTTCCTCCTGGGCCTCCTGTGGCCTCCTGGACCCCGCCTGGGTCTTCCTGAAGCCATTTGGGTCTTCCAGGGGGGGATATCTAACAATGTGGCCGTCGGGGCCCTACAAAAGGGCGGGGGGGGCCACAAGAGCAGGAAACATCAACAAATCGACACCGGATGTGGATTAACTTGACACGTTCTGATAAGGAGCCTCCTGGGGCCTCCTGGGAGCCTCCTGGGAATCTCCTGGAGACCCCTTGGGCCTTCCCAGGGTCCCAGAGGGGGATATCTAACATGTGGTCTTCTGGGCCCCCAGGCTGGACCACCTCTTGCGCGGCATCTGGGAGCTCAGAGTTGCGAGAATGTCTTGTGCGAAACGGGCCGGACTCACCTTGCGCACGGCATCTCAGAGCTCAGAGTTGCAAGGATGTCTTAGGCGAGACGGGCCAGACCACCTCGCGCAGGGCATCTCGGAGCCCAGAGTTGCGAGGATGTCTCAGGCGAAACGGGCCGGACCACCTCTCGCACGGCATCTCGGGGCTCCGAGTTGCGACGATGTCTCGGGCGAAACGTGCTGCGAGGAGGTCTCAGGCGAAACGGGCCGGACCACCTCGAGCGCGGCGTCTCGGAGCTCCGAGTTGCAGGGGCCTCCTGGGGCCTTCTGGGTACAGCACGGGCGCCAGCACGGAGGCTGGAAGAAGAAGTGAGCTGCTTCTTTTCGCGATGTAGTAAGCCCGTCCAGCTCGGCCTCAGACTCTGCCCATTTTGATGGCGGGTCTGGCGCATTTGAAGCATGCGCCCAGGGCGACCGCAATCTGATCGGTCAAACTGGCGCGCGCGAGTTTCTCTGCGAATATCCCGCGAATCCAGGCGTAGCTGGAGTGAGGGATTGTGTGAATAGTTTTCTGCAGAGTTCTGTGCTCTGCGGCTTGGGTCCGCTTGATCATTTCGAGTGGGCTCTGGAGTTGCCGTCGTATGAAGGCCCCCTGGCAGTTCCTGATTCGGTGTCCTCTCATCCTGTGGCCTCCTGGACCCCACCCGGGGTTCCCAGGGAGGGATATCTAACATGTGGCCGTCGGGCCCCCCCAAAATGGGGGGGGCACAAGAGCAGGAAACATCAACGAATCGACACCGGGTGTGTATATTAACTTGACACGTTCTGAGAAGGGGCCTCCTGGGGCCCCCCGGCAGCCTCCTGGGAATCTCCTGGGGACCCCTGGGGCCTGTCCTGGGCGTCCTGCGGCCTCCTGAAGCTCTCTGGGGCCTCCTGGGGCTCCCAGGGTCCCAGAGGGGGATATCTAACATGTGGTCTTCTGGGCCCCCAGGCTGGACCACCTCTTGCGCGGCATCTGGGAGCTCAAAGTTGCGAGGATGTCTCAGGCAGAACGGGCCGGACCACCTCTTGCGCTGCACCTCGGAGCCCAGAGTTGCGAGGATGTCTCAGGCGAAACGGGCCGGACCACCTCGCAAGCGTCATCTCGGAGCCCAGATATCAAGGATGTCTCAGGCGAACGGGCCAGACCACCTCTTGCGCTGCACTTCGGGGCCCAGAGTTGCGAAGATGTCTCAGGCGAAACATGCCGGACCACCTCTTGCGCGGCATCTCGGAGCCCAGTGTTGCGAGGATGTCTCAGGCAAAACGGGCCGGACCACCTCTTGCGCTTCACCATGGGGCCCAGAGTTGCGAGGATGTCTCAAGCGAAACGGGCCGGACCACCTCTTGGGCGGCATCTCGGAGCCCAGAGTTGCGAGGATGTCTCAGGCGAAACGGGCCGGACCACCTCTCGCACAGTATCTCGGAGCCCAGAGTTGCGAGGATGTCTCAAGCGAAACGGGCCGAACCACCTCGCAAGCGTCATCTCGGAGCCCAGAGTTGCAAGGATGTCTCAGGCGAAACGGGCCCGACCACCTCTTGCGCTGCACCTCAGGGCCCAAAGTTGCGAGGATGTCTCAAGCGAAACGGCCCCCACCACCGCTCGCGCGGCGTCCCGGAGCGCAACTTTTCGAGGATGTTTCAGGCGAAACGGCCAATCACGGCCAACTCAGAAACGAGATTTGTGAGGATGTCTCAAGCGAAACGGCCCGGACCATCAGATGTTTGTGAGGATGTATCTGCTCCCCTTTCCTTCGGCCGGAGTTAGCTTCTATCACAACAGCACCCCGTTCAGCAAGCTGTTTGGGGAAAACATAGTCAGGGGACGTTTTTTGTTCGTTAGAAAATTTTTGGGTATGGTTGGACTATTTTTGATTATATTGCACAGGGTGTCTAGAGCTCCGACCACTTTATTCCTCGTCGCACCCCCCACGCGTCCCCAGCGCCAGAGTGGGGCCCCCGTGCCGTGGCTCTCTGCCCCGAGTCCCCCCGCGTCCCCAGCGCCCCAGCGGGGGCCCCACCCACTGCCCCCTCCGCCACGAACGCTGTATTCAGCGTCGCACCCCCCCCCAGCGCCCCCAGCGCCAGAGTGTGACCCCCGCGCTTTGGCTCTCTGCCCCGGGCCTCCGCCTCCCCCCCCCCAGCGCCCCAGCGGGAACCCCGCCCACTGCCCCCTCCGTCACGAACCCTTTATTCCGCGTCGCACCCCCCCCCCTCCAGCGCCCCCAGCGGCGCCAGAGTGTGACCTCCGCGCCTTGGCTCTCTGCCCCGAGCCCCCCCCCCGCCGCGCCCCCAGCGCCCCAGCGGGAACCCCGCCCACTGCCCATTCCGCCACGAACGCTTTATTCCGCGTCGCGACGCACACCACCTCCCCCACCTCCCCCCCCGCGTCCCCAGCGCCCCAGTGGGGGCTCCGTCCCGTGCCCCCTCCGGCCGGTTATGTTTTATCCCGCGTCGCGACGCACGCCCCCCTCCTCTGCCCCCCCCGTCCCCAGCGCCCCAGTTGGACCCCCGCCCCGTGGCCCTCTGCCCTAAGCCCCGCCCAGTGCCCCCTCCGCCCCGACCATTTTATTCCGCGTCGCGACGCACACCACTTCCCCCCCCCCTCCTCTCCGCGCCCCCGGCGCCCCAGTGGGACCTCCGCCCCGTGTCCCCTCCGTTCCGAGCACCTTATGCCGCGTCGCGACGCACGCCACCTCCCCCCCCCTCCCGGCCTGGGATTTGGGCCCCGCTGCTGGGCCCCGAGGGGCGATGTCTTGCCCCCTCTTCCCCCCTCCTCCACCTCCTCCTCCTCCCCCTTCCTGTTGATGCAAGAGCCATGGCACACGTGCCACTTCTTTTTCGCCCACAGTCACCCCGTAGGGGGACATGCCCGACCCAAGCGCAGTATTGTTTCGCGCGGTCAGCGGACCGCCAGCGACGGACGGGCGCTTTCTGCTCCACGGGCGCGGGCGCCCAGGGGCCGGCGCGGCTGAGCCTGGGCCCCGTGGCCTGCGCGGTCCACAACCAGCTGCCCATCACAGCAAGGTTTCTGGTTGTGGTCGGTCGTTTCGGACGCAACTCCTCGGAGGTGAAATTCTGTTTCCGCCCTGGTTCGAAATCCGGCTCACTCCCGCCCAATCCGGCTTCATCCCGTTGAATCTGGCTGAATCCCGCTTATTCCGAGGCCCACTCTGGCGTAATAGCTCCCAAATGGGGCCTGATCCTCCTTAACCTTTCCGACGGGAAGCTCCCAGTAGTTGCCTCCTATATAAGGTTTTTGGTTGTGGTCGGTAGTTTTGCTGCCAGTCGACCAGGATCGCTAACCAGGGCAAGTTGTCCAGCTGTCTCTGCGGTGCGCTATGGAAAAAAAATGAGTCCAGACGGCCGACGAGGACTCCAACACGCCCCAGGACGGACTCAATAGGCTCCCCAAGAGGGCCCTGGGAGGCCGAATTCATTTATTTTCCGATGGTGTTTGAAGGATTTTGGCGTTCTCGCTTTTCCTGCTTCCCAGCGCTCCCTCACGGCCTCGGAGGCCCTTCAGATCGCTTCAAGACGGCCCACGAAGCCCCGAAGAGGGCCCCAAGACGGCCCAGGAGACTCCCAGATAACCCAAGTGTGCCCCAAGAGCGCCCCAAGAGGGCGCCCAGCCTGGAGGGGTCCCGAGGCGGCCCGGGCCCGCCCTGGAACAGGCCACGACAGGCTAAGGAAGTCCCGAGTTTGCCCAAGACGGTCCCAAGAGGCCCCGAAGACGCCCAAGATGCCCTCAAGACGGCCGACGAGGACTCCAACACGCCCCAGGACGGACTCAATAGGCTCCCCAGGAGGGCCCTGGCAGGCTTTCATTCATTGTCCTAGTGCTTTTGAAGGATTTTGGCGTTCTCGCTTTCTCCGCTTCCCAGCGCTCCCTCACGGCCTCGGAGGCCCTTCAGATCGCTCCAAGACGACCCACGAAGCCCCGAAGAGGGCCCCAAGACGGCCCAGGAGACTCCCCACACAACCCAAGTGTGCCCCAAGAGCGCCCCGAGACGGGGCCCCGAACTCTAAAGTGAGCTGGGGACACAGGTGAGCGGAAGCGAACGTGTGCCCGCGGCCGCGTGGCTCAAGCGGCCGGCCGCCCACATGTGACTGCGCCTCATTGCGAGGCATACTATTCGCCATCGATACCAACATATTTCTTGAGACATCCTCCTCCTCCTCCTCCTCCTCTTCTCCTCCTCCTCCTCCTCCTCCGCCGCCTCCGCCTCCGCCTCCTCCTCCTCCTCCTCCTCCTCCGCCTCCGCCTCCGCCTCCTCCTCCTCCTCCTCCTCCTCCTCCTCCTCCTGGTTCGCCCTCTACTATTAGGACTATCGATACTGCGGTGCAACAGAGCGGGAGCTGGGCTTCGCCTAGGGCGAAGCAGCTGGCTGGGTCCCCCAACCCCTTTCCGACCCCCGAGGGGCCCCGCGGGCCAGGGCCAGGGCCCGCCCTGGAACAGGCAACGGCAGGCTAAGGGTGTCCCGAGTGGCCCAAGACGCTTCCAAGACGGGGGAGGAGGAGGAGGAGGAGGCGGAGGAGGAGGAGGAGGCGGAGGAGGAGGAGGAGGAGGAGGAGGAGGAGGAGGCGGAGGAGGAGGCGGAGGAGGAGGAGGACTAGGAGGAGGCGGAGAGGAGGAGAGAAGGAGGAGGATGAGGAGGAGGAGGAGGCGGAGAAGTTGGCGGAGGAGGAGGAGGAGGAGGAGGAGGAGGAGGAGGAGGAGGAGGACCCGGTGCCCACCTGCCCCCGAGGGTGAGCTGGTTTTGCTGGAGCTCCACGGCGAGGGCGCCTCTTCCCCGAGCGTGTCCGGCTCGCGGAGGCTGCTCGCTGGGCAGGCTTGCGCATCGGATGGGGTCTGTTCCACGTGAGGTCACGAGAGGAAAAGACACACAGACACAACTAACTTCAGGAGGGAAACAAACACACAGACACCATTAATCTTCGACCCCCAGGAGAACATGGGAAATATGGGAACTGGGGGGGAAGACTAACGCCCAGAAAAAATATGGGAAAATATGGGGGATCATTTGACTTGTGTGTATTTATTCGTGTGTCCTTGGGCCCCTTGATAACTGTCGACTCCGGGGGAGACAAAGAACCCGAAGATATGAGAAAATCGGGGGTGTCCTGGTATCTGTGTCTACTTCTTTGTGTGGGTCCCAGGGCCCCTTCATGAAGGCACGTCAGAGCCCACGTGCGCTCACGCCTGATGTTTTTGGGGCCGGCAGATGGGGACCTTCCAGTAGTGGTCGGTGCGGCGTGCGAGGGGTTTGCAGACTGCTTGCGCGGAGCACCCACCCGGAGCAAGGGAGCTTCGGTACTGGCGGAACGCGATTGAAGGCATGAGGACCAGTGGAGGGCATGAGGAGGAAATGACGTCATTCCTGGGGGGGCAAGGGGAGGAGGCGAGGGGTTTTGAGAGCAC